ATTTTCACGGCTGATCAGCTGTGTGAAAATATCAGTGTGGAGTATCACGGGCGACCATTAGGAGACATGGGATAAATTGCTATAAATAATAAAAGATATTTTTATGATTATAAAAAAGAAATTAAGTATTTTGAAAAAAAACTTGTTCTTTAACAAATAACAATGCTAAAAATTCTCGGCACTAAAAAGCTTAAACCTAAATAAAATTCTTTCTAGCATGTGACAATTTAAAAAACTGAAATTAATGTTAATTTATGACAGGGTTATACACATCGATCTAAATGAATTGTGATTTTCATGAAAACAGCCTTGTAAAAAAGCACGGGTTGTTACATAGTACCCATTGGATAACAATAAATAAACGTATTATAAAATGATCCAACAAAAAGATATTAAACATGTAAGTATAATTCATGAAAGAAGAAATTAGGCGATTATTCCACCTAGTATTGACTATGAATAAAGTGTATTTTAGGAAACATAAAAAGTCAGAAATATAGATTTACCAATTGACCATAAGAAAAAAATTTCATCAGCTTGCTACATTAATAATAATAACTATTATTTGTTATCTCTATTGCAAAATTTATTGAGAATTATTTTCTGTGTATGGCGGTGGTGATGAAGCGAATAATTCATTATATAAGTCTGGTTTTTTCAAACTTTCGGGTTTAATATTATTGATCGTCATATATTCTATGATTTGACCTGGAATTTCTTTTAATACAGCCTTAGGCAGATCTATGTTAATATTATCCTGGACAAAGTCATTCATCCTGACAAAATGAACAATATCTCGAGGATGCAAGTTACTATCCCATTTACGCTTTAATAGTTGATCATCCAATAATTTCATATTACTAAAATTTGAATTTCCTACTCCTACAATTACGATTGAAAGGGGATAAATAGTAGCATCCATAATAGCTTCTATTGTATTGTCTAGATCTGAAATTATGCCATCGGTAATAATAAGAAGGATGACGTACACAATTTTCTTCATCGAACCTAATTCTTTTAAATTATTATAAATTGTTCGTATGATTGGGGAGAAATTTGTAGGGCCTGATAAATTAACATTCTTCAAACTATGTTTATAAATATCAATAGCTCTGGAAATTCCTGTGGCATGGGAAGATCTATCACTTGTTAATAGAAAATTATGAGATGCTGTAGCACTTCCATAAAATCTCCCACCAAACCCGTATACAGGGATATGATCATCTGAATCATATTTTTCCAAAATGGTACCTACACAACGCATAGCACGTTCATATTCGGAATTTTTAGAGTGTAATCCATGAAGATCTATTCCACGATCATAATTCGATGCTGTAAAGTCTACAGCTATGCTTAATTGTATTTCAAGTCCGCCTTCAATATAATCTAAAAATGTTTTTTCCTTTTTATATGATAATCGAATTTCACCATGTTTTTCAAAAACAATTCTTTGTAAAGAACCGGCATTTTTTATAAAATCATCGATCGACCAAATTTTATTACATAATAATTTTGGATCTTTTCGCCCATCCCTGAAACACTTGAATCCTATTTTATTACTATCATTAACAGTGTTCCATAAGTCATTTTCAGACAAGAACATAGGTTCCCACTCAGGATTTTTAGAGCTGCTTGAATTACTTCGATATACAGGAAATTCGTTTTCTTCTGTTATTCGAACAATTTCATAATAAGTTTTCTCTTTTGTGATGAAAGATGAAATGGGAATATTATAACCAGACACACGAAACTTATATTGTTTACTATTTTCATTACGTACTTCTCTGGCTGCAATAATGATTTCACCACGTTTTTCTCCAACATGCCTAGTAAGGTTGCCCTATATCTCTCATAAAATTTCCAACTCGTTTAAACCACAATGAGTTTTAAGATACCAAATATTAGTATCACGCCAATTTGGGTTTGGTTGCAAATAGAAATTATCAGAAGCA